TGCCCCCACAGCTGAAAGGGTGAGCATGTTTGGTGTGACAGGGATTCGAACCCGCAACCCTCAGATTACGAGTCAAGCGCCTTAACCACCTGGCCATGCCAGGCCTACCTACTACTGACCCACTGGAGGATACAAAAAGGGATCTTATCATTCACTTATGTAAAGTTTGTTAACACTGTTAAATTCATGCTAGATTTGAAATAAATGAAACTGTACAAAAATTCTGCATTTAAAAGGTTTTACTTTAACAGGTTTTAATGTCTCAACATTTTCCTTCAGATAGCATTACAACTTATGCACTGTTATGTACATGCTATCATATGTTATTTACATCAGCTGCTAAAATAATTAATTCAAAACACAAAAAAATCATTTATATAAGAAGTCAGTATTCAAAACTCATGAACAACACACTACTTTGGTCTGAGATAGAAAAGTCTCCATCAAAAACAACTTTTCATCATAGTCTTACAGTACCAAATGCAGGTATTAAACCTGTAGACTTTGAAGAAATACAAAATAGAGATACTCATACGTGTATCAATATTACTACTTTTATGCCTGATTTTAAAACTTACTTCTTTTGAATAGAGCATTAAATGGCTATACAACATTAAAGACCTTGTAAATATTACTACCTTACTAATAAACTATGGTCAATTGCAACAAAAATGTAAATAAATGATTAATGTAAACCATGCATGTGTAAATATACACACACACACACACACACATATACATACATACATGTGGTTAAGGATTCTGACTATAAAAATGAGATCAGATAGGTTATGCTTATGATCTTCGTTTTCGGAATATAAACCTCAGAACAGATCGCAGTCTTCGCCACATGCTGCGTCTTTTCTTCACTTTCTCTGCCACCAGCAGACGCTCCTTTTCTTTTTTTCGAATTTCTCTGACAAGAGCATGGAACACATCATCAACAAAATGTCTCAATGCTGCTGAAGTTTCATAGAAAGGGCAGCTCAGCTGCCGAGCCAATGACTGACCTTCTTCTGTTGCCACCTGCCAAAATATTTCTAGACTTAAAACTCTTCTTACCAATGTTTGCTATAAATATAAAACACACATTATATTCATTAAGACAAACATAATGGGGTTTTCAAAAAATTTCACTGAAAAAACATGTATATTCCAGGATGGTCTAGTTTTTTTTTTTTTGTTTGTTTGATTTTAAATCTTTGTACAACTAAAAATAAATTAACAACACTTTTTTTTCACTCTCAGAATTAAATTAAATAATGTCTTGAAAATATCCAAGTTATAAATATGTATATTAATAAAAAGTAAGGAAAGTATAAAAATTAATATAAACCTTCAAATTTTACTGGCAAGATACCATAAAATAATAGACATAATAAATAAATTTATTTATTGTTTAAAGTAAATTTGATCTATCATCCTTGTGGGTTGTACTACATTGCACAGATCTCCATCTGTACATTTATGCCAATTACGGTAATGGCAAAAACCCTTCCATGGATGATAAAGAATTAACATCAGTATACCAAAATAAGTATTTTCGTTTAGAATTGGTACTATTTCAGGATTTATAAACTAAGTGTGGTTTACTTTTCTTTGGTGTTCTAGGTCATATTTGTTGCCCACTAATACAATAGGGATATTTTCTGAGTGGCGAACCCTTTCAATCTGGTTTTTGTACTCCACCGCTTCTTCAAAGCTACGACGATCTGTGATAGAGTAACAGATTATGAACCCTTCCCCACACCTTGTGTATTGATCTCTCATTGCTGTAAACTCCATCTATAAAGGAAAAAAATTTTCATTTAAAAAATCTGAAAATACATACATTAAGAATGTGTATGCCAGCAAAAATTGAATTTGTTCAGCAAAATCTTTAATGTTAATGTGTTTAAGTAATATTTATTTTGAATTTTTTTTTTGGGGGGGGGGGCTAACTTCACTAAGTTAAATAATGATCTATTAATAGTAATAAAATTGTGTGTGTTTCATTTATGGTTGGCCCACTGTCACACTAAGTCAGGTGAATTACAGTGTACAATATAGATGCCTTTTTGTCTTATGAAATTTGAAAATCCTTCACCAATGAAAATAGTCAATTATTAGGCACATCAATAAAGACATGCAATGACTTATTCTATAAAATTGGATAGCACATATGAAAGCAAATTCATGATGTAAACATCTCTGTTATTACCAAGGTATTCAAATGCATTAAAAGAGTCTGAACAAATCATACAAAATGATTACTTTGAGTTTCACAACATACATTTATATAATTTCAATATTCAAGACTGTAAGAAAAAATTCTGAAAACAGAGAAGTTTTTGGTAATGCACTTCGTAAAGATTAAGCATAGAAAATTATTCATACAAGTGAACTTTAGTTACTGCTTCACACAAAGTTTTATAGCATTGAAGCACTATTAAAGAAAGTCTGAACATATGGTATTATGTCTACTGCCTGCTCCATACTTCTGTTTTACTGAAATGAGCTTCTTCATTATTTGATTTGAATTTCAGCAAATTCTTGCATTTAATATCTCACTTACTACCGATTTCAATAAAACATTTTGATAATGAATTTTAGAAATCAAAACCAAAATACTTGAATCCTCATTTGCTCATGCCAAATATATAATACTAGTATAATTATGTGTACAACATGAAATGAAAATATGCTTATATATCATGAACAAAATATTGTGCATAAATCTTTGGTATATAATCATATTTACACACTTTGATTACTAAACTTTATATATGAATTTTGATATTTCTAAGTGTTAATTTTCATACCTGTGACATGATATATTTTATTCACAAAATAAACACATTCATAGTTTTTAATACTAAATACACAAAATTTAATGTATACAGCATGGTCACAAGTAAATAGACACCACCTTTTTAGAAAAAATTAAATTTTTCAGTCATATTCACATGAATTGATATATTTATAATTTTATTACTATCTAGTAGATCTTCCTTTCGCTTCGTGGAGTTCGTTGATCCTTTGGGGCATCGTGAGAATCATCTCGTCAATTTTAGATTG